ATATATAAAAGTGTCTGGTACTGTGAACATGTTTAATAAATATTTTGTATCCCTATAGTTATGGTGAGAAGTTGGAGGAATCTCCAAATTCCAGGAATTAGAACTTCTCAGACTCATTGCTTCAAGAGGTTGCATCAGACCTCCTTGCTTCCTACTCACTTCTGAAACATTTGGCCATTTAGTAAGATACTTATAGGTGCAAGACTCATTCTTTCTTACAGTAAGAAACAATTCTCATGGTTTTATTTTATTAATTTAATCAGAAATAAGTACTTGACTTTATAAATGTTTTTTGGCTGCCTATTCAGGGCGTATGGGTGCCATATTACTAGTAATCAAGAGGCAGGGGCCCGGTGTGGCCGAGATGCAGCCTGGGGGGCCGATGGCCTTTGATTCTTCCCTCTGCCCAAGGCAGCCTGCACAGCCACTGTGAGTCTTGATCCCTCATCTAATGAGGTGGGGGTCATGTATGTTCTGGTAGAGAGAAAAATAAAGCACGGGGGGAATCCTCAGCTCTGGGTTTCATTCTTGCTACAGTTGAGTTTCTCCACGTGGCTGGGCTACCTTCTTCATATGATCGTGATTGTATATTGATCTCTGTGTTTATACATGAGCCAGGAGATTTTCCCCATGTTTTTCTGTGCTCTAACTTGGTGTTTTATAATATTTGTGTATTCCTTAAACCATTGAAATAGTTCACTTGTAAAACCATTTAGTACAGATAGGGAGATAATTCTGATAGTTTTTAATTTAAAAATAATAATATGTATCATTTATTGAATGTTTATGACTATATTCCAAAAATGATAAGAACTATTTTGCATACTTTATGATCCCCAGAAGCAAGTATTATTTATATATCCCTTATTTAACTCTGAATCTTAAAATTGCCCAGGCTGGCCTTGAATTTGGGATCCTCCTGCCTCAGAGTGTTGGGATTACAAGCTTCTGCTGCCATTCCCAGAGGTCCCTATCTTACATATGACAAGACTAAGGCTTTGAGAAATTAAATAAGCTCATGCAAAGATTCATTATCAAGCTTTATTCTTATTACTTGGGTTTGGTTTGGGTCCATTTAAATTTTCTGTGTCGGGGGCC